TTATTTACTTGAGAAATAACATGTTAAAGGGAGCTGTACTGCTTTCAAGTGTGGAAGCTGTTCAGCCACAAAGCTTCAAGTATGGGTTGTTTTGTGTGATGCAGGCATACTGGTGTGTGTATCACACATAGACGTGTATATATACGTGAGTTTGTATATGACATAAATGTGTGTAGATAAACTTACATGCCTGTGAGATACACGTATCATGGTACACCTGTTTCACACAAAAGTATGTATGTAGACATACACATGTGTGCTTGTGGGATATTTGCCACGGTGTATGTACATATATACACGAATGTAATAAACAGGCATATTTGGAGATATGCATGTACATGCACACACTGGTTTTTAGAATCCTCAAGTAAGCTGTAGCAGCACTGTTAATGTAACTTAAACAGAACTTTTTTTTTCTTAATAAATGTAAACTTAGTGGTATGTAATCAATGATTGCAACTCCTCCTTGCTCACCTATTTTCTCTCAAACTGTTTTTCAGACTTCTGGGAAAGACTATTTCCAACTGCCCACAGGCAATAAGAAATAAATAATCATTAGTATGCTCAATGTTGTTGTGTCACTAGTTCATTTGTTTCATATAGACTTGCCTTGGCTTACTGAAGTCATTTCTATAATTGATTCTCACTTTAGCGTTTATGTTAAATGTGGACATGGTCATCACTGTTTTGCATGGTGATCAGAGACCCTTTGAATTTATTATGCAATAGGCACTGCACCTAATCAAAATCTGTCATTCCACCCCTTGCTACACAGGAGGGCTCTGTCTGATGCAATCTTATTTTGGAAAAGATTAATCTGTCCTTTGGTACTATTACTTTATTACTGTAAATATAAACTGCTTATCTTGACTGTGGAGACTAGCTCATATTTGACATTAACATGAGATTAACTGCTTGTACCATTTTTCTAGGACTAAAGTGGTCTACCAGACATTCCCTAAGCCTTCCTTAGTGTACAGAATGTGTAATTACTTTCTCCATAATAAGTGAATGGGATGTCTGACAATATATTAATATGCATAACTTCATATTCACCTTGCTTATATTAGTCCTGTATGCTAATAGTTAATCTCTGTGATAATGTGTTAGTTAGTTGAAATACACATATTTAATTTCTGGTATTGGATTTGTTCCACTGTCTCATAAATACTTCTATTATGGTGGTTTGAGGTACACATGTTAATGATGCTGTATCTGTTTCCTTCTTAAAGTTGCAGCAGCTTTCTCCAAGCAAGGCTTTTCTTAATGCTAAATTAGGGGCCAAGCTGTTTATGGGTCTTTTATCTATGAATCTAAATAATACTTTTCTAAACTGTTTATGCTATTTATCTCCACTGTTCCCTGTGTCAGCAAATTGGATTTTCTTTTGACTTCTGATTTTTCCTATTTCTTAAATGCTGACCTTTCCACTTTATATGTGGTTCTTAATTCTCTGTAAAACTGTGAGGATGATGAGGTGGGTTGTTTATTGATGTCGATTTTAATTTTATTTTTTTTTACTTTTGAAATGTGGCAAATGTTTTCTTTGCTAATGCAGAGAAATGTTCAGGCTTCTTTGTAGGATCCTACCTTTTTTGTCGGACTGCTCATTCTAGAGAGTGGGGGGGGGTTTGTGGGGTTTTTTTTCTGGTGGTTGTTGCTGGTGGGGTTATTTTTCCTCTTATTTTTTTCCTCTTAGTATTTGCCTTGTTGTTCCTATCTTGAAATCAGGTATTTGTGTACTGATTTAGTTTGTTGCTCTCTTCCACTGCAGCATTAAATGGAATAGTATTGTGATTGCTGCTAGAGAGAGGTTTTCCCGGTTATAGTTCTTTAACAGTGTTTGTGTGCCACTGAAGACCAAATTCTACCTTTCCTGGAGATTTTTAGACTAGTTCTACTAAGATGTGTAATTTTCACATGGAATGATGGACAAATTGCAGGTTAACAAGCCTTTGTCTTGTGATCATTAGCTTTGAGGAGTATAGTGATAGATGCAGTTTGTTCAGTATGTTCAGTTTGGAATGGTTTCAAAGAAATGGCATTTTGCTGCAAGTAGAGTTTATCCTTTTATAAATTGAAACCTTGCAAGACTTTTGGACACATGATTTTCCCTGAAAGAGTAAAAGATACTCATGCTGCCTCCTCTTTACATTACTGAAATAATAAATCTCTAATGAAATGGTTTATGGGAGGAAACGCAGATATTTTATTATAGTCAACATATTTGTTTCCTCTTACGTAGTCCTTTTAAGCTTGTCTTGCAGAACAACAGCTTTGCCATTTTTTGGGTAGAACTTGTACATTTGCCTGGGCTAGGCAAAAAAAAATAAAATTAACAACAATGCAAATGTGTAGTCTACAAAGTTTTCGATAATTCAGTGTGAGTATAGAAATTACGGGAGGCACAGCTTTCAGATGCAGCCTTCTTGCTTGGATACAGGTCTTTCATGCTTTCAAAGTTCATGTGCACCTCATCTGAACTGTTTTCTGAATGTAGTTTTGTAAAACAGTTACTTAAAATGCTTTTCTTCAATTATAATCACAGAGGCAAAGACTTCTTACTTGTCACTGCTTGCTGAGTTTCTTTGCACTTTAAAATTTCAGACTAAAATAAGCCACTATTGCTAGGCAGTCATACATTTAAACATTTTCAAATTGCTGAAAACATTTGATCGTTTATCTGTTACGTTGCCTGTTTACTTACCAGCTGCTATTCTATGTACTAACAAGCCACTATTGCTAGGCAGTCATACATTTAAATATTTTCACATTGCTGAAAACTTTTGAACGTTTATCTGTTACACTGCCTGTTTACTTACCAGCTGCTATTCTTTTTACTAACGAAATTACCATTTGCATTCTCCTGATTTATTTTTCAGTTCTAGCATATTACTTCAGTGCTGCTTGTCTCCCTATCCAAATACATAAGAACCTATAAAAATATTATAGTAATTAAAGTTCTTAA